ACTGACTTGTGATGTATAGGTATAGTTTAACTTCTATATTTGGGAGGGCAGATCCAGTCAAGCCAACAGGGCTGCACGTGAGGGGGCAAGTTCCTAAGGCTTGAGTTTGGGGGGGGAATACTCCCTCCCCCAAACTACACCCATGAGGGTATGGAAACCAGGTCACCAGAGTCCCTGTCTAGTCATCTAACAGCTGGACCATGCTGCCTCCATGGAATAAATGTCTATGAATAAATCAGAAAGGGTTACTACTCCATGGTTAGTGGGTCATCAGGTTCCTAGCTGCATAGATAGGATGGTGAGGCACAGTGAAGGACCTGTGGTTAGCTGTGGTCAGAGCAAATCTAATGAGAGTTCATGTTTGCTATTGGGAACAATTTTGTATGTGGATGCAAGGTGTGTTATGGGTTTGCGGGGGGACCACATAGGCACTGCATGCCTAATGTCTAGTGTAGTCAAGACCTTGCAGACTTTGAAGTTTAGACTAGTACATTTGGTTTATAATATAATTAGGTGAGTTTTCAATGCAGTGTTTGGACAAATAGGGCCAAAGCTCTTTTTAAAAATAATTCAGGACAACAGTAATAATTCAGGGCTGGATCCAACTTTCCTTTATTACAGTCATTTGTTTTACAAGAGTAATTGCACTTCAATCACTGGTAGCACTAAAATTGCTAATTTTAGTGCCATAGTTTCACATTAACCACACTTAATTATATTTTTAACAGAATAATAGCTTAAGTGAGATGGTTACACACTGGGTTCTTGTAGCCCAAATGGGGGTTAATCCATTAAAATGCATTAATATTTGCTAATGACAAAACAAGGGAATTATAACATTGCATTGCCGCCTGTTTTTAGATAATTGCACATCAGTTAATCATTTATGCCAAATGGGAGTGAAAAGATGGAGCCATTAGGGAGAAGCAGGGTGCAGAGCGCAAGATGGACTGATAATAAAAACAGGATTGTCAAAAAAGGCAAATATTTGAAAAATGAAGCTATTAATGGACTATGTTAAATATTTTAAAAGCTGATGATGGAAAAAATCATGAACAAAAAAGACATTACTAAAGAGAAAGTTGTTAGAAAAATTAGATACAAGTTGCCTCTGATCATAATAAGGTAAATATTAGAATCATGTAATTTACATTATTAGGTACATTTTACTATATCTTTGTCTTGGCTGTACTTAAAAGAAAAACTGATTTTATTGTTAGCCAAGTACGACCTGAAAAACGTTGCTCTGATTCAGATGTTTGAATTCTGCACCACAGGACAGACCTATAAAAGTTATTATTTTTGTAGTTCAATCTCAAGTTGAGAAAAAGCCAGCAAGGAAATTTGAATTGCACATTTGGGATTAACTGCTCAGAAAATATCCCATAGAGATTGTATTCCCTAGAGATTAGACCTGAAATAATGGTAATAATTATTTTATAATAATTAATTATAATTTATAATAATAATAAACTAGAATTTACTATAATTATAATATTCTAATTTACTATACTATACTACATATAATAATTATAAATTATAATTTATAATTATTATATAAATAGATTATAAATATTGTATTGTATTATATAAATATATTATCTAATTTTATAATCATTATAATTTATAATAATTATTTTATTCCCTAGAGATTAGACCTGAAATAATAGTAATGCTGTATAAAGTTTGGTGATGAGCTAAATTTAAGACCATTTACAATTTCATTTTATGTCTATGCAACACTGATGTTGATCTTCACCATGACGTGTTTCTTTGATGGTTAGTAATTATATTATACAAGATCAAACTCCTTATATGTCTGTCTGTCTTCGTAAGATGCTATTTACAGAATGCTAGTCATCATAATATCTAGGCACCAGTGCAGATATTCTGTGACAGTTGAGTGCGGTAAAGCTATTATTACACCTGATAATTAAATAAACGCATGTATTATAGCATATGGAAAGCTTTGGGTGAATGCAGCATCCATAGATCAAATATGACATATGAGGAATCCTCCCCTGTTCCTGCAAAAATGTATACACTCCCCTTCTCCTTTTCCTACCTCAAAAAATGTTGCATCCAACATGGGAATTCTATATTAGACCTCATCCTGACAGATAAAGAGGAACTGATCACAAAACTAAATAATGGTAACTTAGGTACAAGCTGATCACATTTTTAATGTGCAATAAAGTCCAGACAAAAGTTCAGACCATATATATATATGTGTGTGTGTGTGAAGATAGATAGATAGATCACCTGGGAGGAAGAATTTAATCAGAAAAATGTGAGTGATAATTGGGAATTGTTTAAGAACACTTTACTGGAGGCCCAAAAAGCCAAAACCTCACGATCAATGAAAGAGGCCACATTGGTTAAAAAAAATCAATCTGGTTTAGAGGGGAAGTGAAGGCAGCTATAAAAATATATGTATAACAAATGGAAGAAAGGGAAAACTGATAGTACTGAATATAAATCAGAAGCTAGGAACTGTAGAAAATTTATAAAGGAAGCAAAGGGACACAGGCAACATCTATAGCCAACTGAGTTAATAACAAAAAGAAGGAATTTTTAAGTATATTAGAAGAAACAGAATCTTAGCAATGGTACTAGTCCTTTACTACATGGAAATGGTAAAATTATCAATAATAATGCAGAAAACAGAGAAGCGATCAATAAATGTCTGTTCTATATTTTGGGAAAAAACAAATGACTTAGTCATATCGTATGGTATCACTCTTTCCATTCCACTAGTATCTCAGGACGATGTTAAACAGAAGCAGCTAAAGTTAGACATTTTTAAAATCAGCTGGTTTAGATAACTTGCACTCAAGAGTTTTAAAAGAGTTGACTGAGGAGCTTGCTGGACTATTATTGTTGATTTTCAATAGGTGTTGGAACACAGAGGATTGGAAGAATGCTAATGATGTAGCAATATTTAAAAAGCATAAATGGGCCTGTCAGTCTGATATCATTAACAGGCAAGATAATGGAGTGGCTGATATGAGACTTGATTAAAAAGAATTATAGTAGGGTATTATAATTAATGCTAATCAACATGTGGTTATGGAAAATACATTCTGTTGAACAAATTTTATATAATTTTTTATAAGAGTTCAAGTTTGGTTGATAAAGGTAATAGTGTTGTAATATACTTAGATTTTTGTAAGGAATTTGACGGGGTAGCTCATGATACTTTGATTAAAAAACTAGAATATAAAATTAACATGGCACACATTAAATGGATTGAAAACTCGTTAACTGATAGAGCTCAAAATGTACTTGAAAACAGGAACTCGCCATTGAACAGGTGTGTTTCTAGTGGGGTCCCACAGGGATCAGTTTTTGGTCCTACCTGTTAAACATTTTTTAATGATCTGGAAGAACACATAAAATGATCACTAATAAAGTTTGCAGATGACACAAAAATTGTGGAAGTGGTAAATAAGTAAGAGGACAGGTCACTGGTACAGAGGGACCTGGATTGCTTGGTAAGCTGGGAACAAGCAAACAATATGTGTTTTAATACTACTAAATGTAAATGTATACATCTAGAAACAAAGAATGCTGGCCATACTTACAGGATGGGGAACTCTATCATGGGAAGCAGTGACTCTGAAAAGGTTTGGGGGTCATGCTGGATAATCACTGTGAACATGAGCTCCCAGTGCAACAGTATGGCCAAAAGGGCCATAAGGGCTAATGTGGGTAGAAAGTTGGCTAGATTGTCGGGCTCAACGGGTAGTGATCAATGGCTCCATGTCTAGTTGGCAGCCGGTGTCAAGTGGAGTGCCCCAGGGGTCGGTCCTGGGGCCGGTTTTGTTCAATATCTTCATAAATGATCTGGAGGAGGGTGTGGATTGCACTCTCAGCAAATTTGCGGATGATACTAAACTAGGAGGAGTGGTAGATACGCTGGAGGGCAGGGATAGGATACAGAGGGACCTAGACAAATTGGAGGATTGGGCCAAAAGAAATCTGATGAGGTTCAATAAGGATAAGTGCAGGGTCCTGCACTTAGGACGGAAGAACCCAATGCACAGCTACAGACTAGGGACCGAATGGCTAGGCAGCAATTCTGCGGAAAAGGACCTAGGGGTGACAGTGGACGAGAAGCTGGATATGATTCAGCAGTGTGCCCTTGTTGCCAAGAAGGCCAATGGCATTTTGGGATGTATAAGTAGGGGCATAGTGAGCAGATCGAGGGACGTGATCGTTCCCCTCTATTTGACATTGGTGAGGCCTCATCTGGAGTACTGTGTCCAGTTTTGGGCCCCACACTTCAAGAAGGATGTGGATAAATTGGAGAGAGTCCAGCGAAGGGCAAGAAAAATGATTAGGGGTCTGGAACACATGACTTATGAGGAGAGGCTGAGGGAACTGGGATTGGTTAGTCTTCAGAAGAGAAGAATGAGGGGGGATTTGATAGCTGCTTTCAACTACCTGAGAGGTGGTTCCAGAGAGGATGGTTCTAGACTATTCTCAGTGGTAGAAGAGGACAGGACAAGGAGTAATGGTCTCAAGTTGCAGTGGGAGAGGTTTAGGTTGGATATTAGGAAAAACTTTTTCACTAGGAGGGTGGTGAAACACTGGAATGCGTTACCTAGGGAGGTGGTAGAATCTCCTTCCTTAGAAGTTTTTAAGGTCAGGCTTGACAAAGCCCTGGCTGGGATGATTTAATTGGGGATTGGTCCTGCTTTGAGCAGGGGGTTGGACTAGATGACCTCCTGAGGTCCCTTCCAACCCTGATATTCTATGATTCTATGATCCTTAAATGCGTAGGGCACACAGTCACTGACTGCAAATGGAATGCATTTAACCCTTCTGTTGCAGACATATATGTTCCTGGAAGTTTAAGATATCACAGGGAAACAGGCATAAGGACGTATGGAAACGCCATTATATTTTTATACATCTCACCTCATATGGCATGGAAAAAAGGTTCTGACACCAGCTGAAACTCCTCACCCCACTGATAGAAATTTATCATTCTTCAGGGATCGGAGGTTGAAGCAGACCATTCTTACTGCACTGGAGAGATGGAATTTCGTGCCACTTTTCTGAACATTCCTGCCCTAGAGGTCAGTTTGGAACCCTAAGACTATAAATACAGATATGGGTGTATAGCCTCAGCTGGTGTAAATTGTCAGAGTCTTGGAAATTATCCCATGTGCCGCTGCTGACTCGTGAGACTGCCCTAGCATGAGCTCTGATCTCATTAGTTAAGAGAGTTGAGTCAGCAGATTGTGCTTCTGCCTCTGACTCAGGAGTGAACCAATGACTCTGTATAGTGTTTGGGGATGCAGCGATATCAAAGATGCCATCTTTCATCAATTTCTGACATCAAACTGACATAATTAAGGCCCTATCAAATTCATGGTCCATTTTGGTCAATTTCACTGTCATAGGATTTTAAAAATCATAAATTTCAGCTTTTTAAATATGAAATTTCACGATGTTGTAATTGACCCAAAAAGACTATTGTAGGGGTTGTGATACTGCTTCCCTTACTTCTGTGCTGCTGCTTGCGGTGGCGCCGCCTTCAGAGTTGAGCAGCTGGAGAGCAGCAGCTTCTGGCCAGGAGCCCAGCTCCGAAGGCAGGACTGCAGCAGCGCAGAATGAAGGATGTCATGGTATGGTATTACCACCCTCACTTCTGTACTGCTGGCTGAGAGATGGGCCCTCAGTCAGCAGCCACCACTATCCAGCCGCCCAGCTCTGAGGGCAGCAGCACAGAAGTAAGAGTGGCATGGCATGTTAGGGTATTGCCACCTTTACTTCTGCGCTGCTGCTGGCAGGGCGCTGCCTTCAGAGCTGGGGGTGCCCAGCCAACAGCCACCGCTCTCCAGCCGCCCAGCTCTGAAGTCTGCGCAGTAGTAAGGGTGGCAATACCATGACCCCCCCTAAAATAACCTTGTGAACCCCCTGCAATTCCCTTTTGGGTCAGGACCCTCAATTTGAGAAACGCTGGTCTCCCCCGTAAAATCTGTATAGTATAGGGTAAAAGCCCACAAAAGATGAGATATCACAGTGGGAGCCAGATTTCACGGTCTGTGCCGTGTTTTTCATGGCCATGAATTTGGTAGGGACCGAGACATAACCCATTATAGTCATTAAAGACCTTGTGTCTTTTTTTCTATTTATTACATGGGAGTGTGAATGCAGGGAATTAGTGAAATTTCAGGTCAGGTGGTGTCATTCTGTTTCCCTTAATTTCCATTGAATTCCATTCTTTGGATACAAGCTTGTTCCATATCCTAAAGTATTGTGTAGCATTGTTGTGTGTAGTTTAACAGTTGCCCCACTTCATCCTAAATGCGGCTGAATGTCAGTAGTAGAGAAGCAATCCATTTATCTCTAGTCTGTAAAGCGCTTCGGGTTTCTTTGGGATGATGGGTATTATAGAGGCTAAAAGCGCTATATAAGAGCTAAATTTTGTTGCTGTTGCTGTCACATGGAGAGTGTACAGCAGTCTCTCTTCATAAATGTGATTATAGACCAAGAAGGATGGATTTCATGAAGTTAGATATTTAAGAGCTACTGTAATTAGATACAGGTTAACTAGGTGACAGCGGAAGGGGTGGGAGGAGATGAAGGGATCAGAACCATCTACAATAGTGTAACCACCAGGAAGGGAGAATTATTAATGAGATTACTGGGGTGAAAATGATAAAGGTAAATGGAGGCTGAATGTCAGAAAAAATTTCCTTAGTTAGGTTTGTGAGGATGTGGAATATTCTCCCAAAGCAAGTAGTGCAAACCCTGTTGTTTGTGAAATTTAAAACAAAACTGGGCAAAACACTGGAGAATATATGTTCTCAGCAAATCCATGGTGAGCTGCAGTTTTGTTTGCAATATGCCTTTTGCAAATTTTAAAATGTAGTTAATCCCAAATGTTTTTTATTGAATAATGTAACTACTATATGTTCCTCTTTAGTGATTTTTATGTCTGTTATCCTGAACTAATTGGAACATAATGGATACTTAGACTAATGTGCTGGATCTCAGACGCCATGTATATCAGGGGATATGTATTTTTGAAAGTATAAATATATTTTAAAAGAAAATAATTCAGTTTTGTTCCTCACACTTATAATTTTCCTGAAATCACAACAATTTGTAGAGTAGGGTAGTAGAATGAAGTACTGCAAAAATGAAAATTAGAAAATTGATTTTTTTTAAACAAGCAAATGTGTTTTTAAATATAGTAATAGCACATTATTACATTCTTTCTGGAAAGAACTTTTCTGGAATTCTGTCCTTTTCAGATATACCTTTAAAATTATTTTAAATAGAATATTACAACTTTTCACTTTTCCCCATTTGACAATGTACTATAGAGACTTAGTTTGAATAAAATACATTTTCTTAACACTAAATTAGTATTTTAATTACATTATCAATTAAAATTTACACTTTTTAAAAATTTATTGTACTTCATTATGAGTATTATTATCATCATTATACTAGTTATTATTATTTTAAAACGTAAGTTATCTTTTCCCATTACTACCAGTGCTCCAGATATGTAACTAACTCCTGATCAGCTAGGATAGTTAATTACTTCTTGGAGCAGCAAGTCCTGGAACCCACAAGAGGAGGGGCAATTCTTGAATTAGTCCTAAGTGGAGCACAGGATTTGGTCCAAGAGGTGTATATAGATGAACCATTCAGTAATAGTGATCATAATGTAATTTAATTTAACGTTCTTGTAGGCAGGAAAATACCAAAGAAACTCATCACAGTAGTCTTTAACTTCAAAAAGGGGAAGTACACAAAAATGAGTGAACTAGTTAAATGGAAATTAAAAGGAACAGTCACAAGGGTAAAATGCCTGGAAATTCATGGAAACTATTTTAAATGCCCATAACAGTGTTTCAAACTAAATGTATACTACAGATAATATTTTTTTAAAAAAAACAGCAGGAGGCCCAAAAACATTCCACCATGACTAAAAAGCAGAGTAAAAGAGGTAATTGTAGTAGGAAGAGAGCCTGAAACATAAGCCCTTGTATCAGAGGCCTGGTATGAGGCAGGATCTGCTCACAGAATTTGGCAAGAACAGGGCGGATATTGCAGAAACATTCCTAAGAAGTGCTCTCACAGAGTGCTCATGCAAACACATCCCGTTATCTAGTGGTACCAGAACATCCCAATATCAAGGATGGTACAAAAACGTTCCCCAAGAATAACAGGAACACACTGACCCCTCCTAAAATATAAGGTCAGGATGACAGTATGGAATAGAGATGTTTTGATCGAACCAACATGTGCAAAATAATGGGTAATAACTAGTAACATCAGGGGGCGATAACTAACTTGTTTGTATCTGGGTGTAAAGACATCTCAGAGGGAGTATCTGTGTGTAGCGGAAAGTCCCGCAGTTCATTGAGCTGGTCCATTGTTACAGCCATACATGTATTACCGGTCTGGCAGAGTCTGCGGGATACTAGTACCATGCTTCGTTGACAATAAACCTGGCTGGGTGCCTTCGTTCCTTAACGGATCTTGTGGTCATTGGGCAGTTTGCTCAAGGTCTGCCGTGCCAGCTGTCTGCACAAAGCAGGGGCAGTACACAGAAGGCACACACACACGCAGCCAGACATCTATCAATATCTAACCACAGTAGCTAGAGGCAAAAAGGCATCCTTTAAGAATTGGAAGTAAAATCCTACTGAGGAAAATAGAAGGGAACATAAACTCTGGCAAGTCTAGTGTAAAAGTATAATTAGGCAGGCCAAAAAAGAATTTGAAGAGCAACTAGCAAGACACAAAAAATAACAGCAAAAGAATTTTTAAGTACATCAGAAGCAGGAAGCCTGCCAAACAGTCAGGGTGGCCACTGGATGATCTAGGTGCTAGCGAGGCGCTCAAGGAAAAGCCTGGCAAACAGTGAGGCGCTCCATTGCAGAGAAGCTAAATTAATTCTTTGCATCAGTCTTCACTGCTGAGGGTATGAGGGAGAGTCACACACCTGAACCTTTTTTTTTTTAGGTGACGGCTCTGAGGAACTGTCCCAAACTGAGGTGACAATAGAGGACGTTTTGGAACAAACTGATAAATTAAACAATAATAAGTCACCAGGACCAGATGAGAGTCACCCAAGAGTTCTGAAGGAACTCAAATATGAAATTCCAGGACTACTAACTGTGGCATGTAACCAGTAGCTTAAATCAGTCTCTACACCGGATGACTGGAGGATAGCTAATGTAACACTGATTTTTATAAAAGGCTCAAGAGGTGATCCTGCCAATTACAGGCTAATAAACCTAACTTCAGTACCAGGCAAATGGATTGAAACTATAGTGAAGAACAGAATTATCAGACACAGAGAAAAGGAGTACTTGTGGCACCTTAGAGACTAACCAATTTATTTGAGCATGAGCTTTCGTGAGCTACAGCCCACTTCATCGGATGCATCCACGGTATGCATCCAATGAAGTGAGCTGTAGCTCACGAAAGCTCATGCTCAAATAAATTGGTTAGTCTCTAAGGGGCCACAAGTACTCCTTTTCTTTTTGCGAATACAGACTAACACGGCTGTTACTCTGAAACCAGACACATAGAGAAACATGAAATGATGGGGAAGTGTCAACACGGCTTTTGTAAAGGGAAATCATGTCTCACCAAACTATTAGAGTTCTTTGAGAGTGTCAACAAGCATGTGGACAAGATATAGTGTACTTGGACTTTCAGAAAGTCCTTAACAGAGTCCCACACCAAAGGCTCTTAAATAAAATAAGCAGTCATGGGAAAAGAGGGAAGGACTTCTATGGATCAATAACTGGATAAAATATAGGAAGCAAAGGGAAGGAATAAATAGCCAGTTTTCACGATGGGAAGAAGTAAATATTGGAGCCAGTGTTATTGAACGTATTCATAAATGATCTGGAAGAGGAGATAAATAGTGAGGTGGCAAAGTTTGCAGACAATACAAAATTATGCAAGATATTTAAGTCCAAGGCTGACTGCAAGGAGATAAAAAGGGATCTCACTAAACTGGGTGACTGGGCAACAAAATGGCAGATGAAATTCAATGTTGATAAGTCCAAAGTAATGCACATTGGAAAACATAATCCCAACTATATATACCACATGATGGAGTCTAAATTAGCTGTTACACTCAAGAAAGAAATCTTAGAGTCATCATGGACAGTTCTCTGAAAACACCCACTCAATATGCAGCAGCAGTCAAAAAAGCTAACAGAATGTTAGGAACCATTAGGACAGAGAGAGGTAATGAGGCAGAAAATGTCATAATGCCACTGCATAATTCCATGGTACTCCCACACCTTGAATACTGCATGTAGTTCTGGAAAAGAGACCAGGAAGGGCAACAAAAATGATTAGGGGATGGAACAGCTTCCATATGAGGAGAAAAGGAGTACTTGTGGCACCTTAGAGACTAACCAATTTCCAGTCTCTAAGGTGCCACAAGTACTCCTTTTTCTTTTTGCGAATACAGACTAACACAGCTGCTACTCTGAAACCTGTCATATGAGGAGAGATTTTCTTAGAAAAGAAATGACTAAGGGGGAATATGATAGAGGACTATAAAATCATGAATGGTGTAGAGAAAGTGAATAGGAAAGTGTTATTTACCCCTTCACATAGCACAAGAACGAGGGGTCACCTGTTGAAATTAATAAGCAAGCAGTTTTAAAACAAACATAAGGAAGTACTTCTTCACACAACACACAGTCAACCTGTGGAACTCATTGCCAGGGGATGTTGTGAAGGCCAAAAGTATAACTGGGTTAAAAAAAAAATAGGTAAGATCATGGAGGATAGGTCCATCAATGGCTATTAGCCTAAATGGTTGTTTGGATGCTCCCTAAATGTCAAACTGGCAGAAGCTGGGACTGGATCACTCAATAATTGCCTTATTCTTTTCGTTGCCTCTGAAGCACCTGGCATTGGCAACTGTCAGAAGACACAATATTGGGTAGATGGACCATTGATCTGACCCAGTGTAGCCATTCTTATGTTCTTAATCTGCTGAACAAAGCCTGTCTTTTTCTCAGGCATTTAGGGAAGAAATGGAGAGGTGGTTTGAGGAGTATTATTTTTATTATGCCTGCCATGAGTGGTTACTGTTGGATTTTTATTTATGACAGTGGATGTGCAGCCCATTGTATGTAATTTGTACTTTTCTGTTACTGTACATTCTGGTATTGTTGGACATGCATAGGCTGCAGTCAGAATCAGGGCCTCATTGTGTTACGTGCTGTATCACTCACAGACATGGGCAACAAAATGGAAGAACGTAAAATCAAATGTAATGTGAAAAAGAATGTTAATTTGGGCTGCTCATAAAATGTCTCCTAAACAAAGTGTGTGGAGAGAAAGATTACTTTTACCTCTGGATGCTTCAGGTTCCTGTAAATGAATAGATTCTATGTAATCCCTAGCATTCAATTCTTTTTTTCCCTAGTATTTACCTCACTTGGTACCACCATTGTCCAACATTTCCTTCTAACTTGTAAGGCAGGACAAGTCACCTCCAAAGCCATCATTAATGCTTGTCCGTGAAGAGCTAGTCCTGGAGGAGTGGTAATTGATTCTCAAGATCAGTCCCCACAAATAGCAGACCTCCCTACAGTCTTATCACACCTCTGTTAACCTCAGAGAGCAATGCACTTTTGCTTTACCATCAGGCCTATGAGTTCTTATGATAAGATAACCAGATCAAGTGAGCTAAGAATTTTAATGGCTTAGCTCAGCAGATTCCCAGACTTAAATTATCAATTAAGTCATTTCAGTAATGCCTAGAATTGCATGTCTGATTTATTCAGGAGCCATAATTATAACAAATGTTTAGATATAAATGGTCTTTCAAAATTTTTGTTATTAAAATGGCTTTATCTGGATTTCTTGTTTTCTCCTTTAGGTTTGCTATCTTTCTTACAATGGAAAGGCTGGCTATCTATCTACTGGTTATTAGCACTGCTGTGAAGGCTATGATGTGTCCAAAACGGTGTATGTGTCAAAACCTGTCTCCATCCTTCACCATCCTCTGTACGAAGACTGGGCTTCTCTTTGTGCCCCCCAGCATTGACAGGAGAACAGCAGAACTAAGATTAATGGATAACTTCATCACCACACTTAGAAGAAAGGATTTTGCAAACATGACAAATCTTATTCACTTGACACTATCAAGAAATACAATAAGTCAAATCATGCCTTATGCGTTTTTTGATCTTAAAGGCCTTCATGCATTACATTTGGATAGTAACAGACTGACTTGTATCAATGAGGATCATTTCAAAGGTTTAATTAATCTTCGCCACTTAATACTCAGTAACAATCAATTGAACTATATTTCTCCTGGATCTTTAGATGACTTTATTGAAACACTTGAGGACCTGGATCTATCATATAATAATCTTGTTAATATTCCTTGGGATACAATTGGAAAGCTTTCTAATGTCAATACCATCAGTTTGGATCACAACCTCATTGAGTTTGTTCCAGAAGGAATCTTCTCAAACCTTCACAAACTTGCTCGATTAGACATGACATCCAACAAATTGAAAAAAATTCCCCCTGACCCCCTGTTCTCCAGAATCCCTGTGTATGCTAAATCTAAAGGGTCTCCATTGTCCTCTCTGGTGCTTAGCTTTGGAGGGAATCCTCTACACTGCAACTGTGAATTAGTGTGGTTGAGACGCCTTACCAGAGAAGATGATCTAGAAACATGTGCCTCACCACTGGAATTGATGGGCAAGTACTTTTGGTCCATTAAAGAGGGGGAGTTTGTCTGTGAACCTCCAATGATAACACATCGAACGCCAAAACTCGTGGTTATGGAGGGACAGAGTGTCTCTTTGAAGTGCAAAGCGGTCGGTGACCCGGATCCCTATGTTCGCTGGATCTCCCCCGAGGGGAAGTTGGTCTCCAATACATCTAGGACAATTTCCTATGAGAATGGAACTCTGGATATTTTAACTACTACTTTGACAGAAAAAGGTACATTTACTTGTATAGCATCAAATGCTGCAGGAGAATCTACGGCTCCTGTTGAACTTGTTGTTAATCCTTATCCTCATCTTGCTAACAGTACCAACTGTGAGAAAGATGCTGAGTCTGGGCCTTCAGACATTCTTATATCTGCTAAGTCAAGTTTCCCTAATGAAACTAAAGCTCAGCAGGAGAAGAAGGTTGTGGTTGCTGAGCTGACCTCATCCTCTGCTCTCATACAGTGGCCTTCCCAGCATCATATTCCTGGAATACGAATGTACCAGATTCAGTATAACAGCTCTTCTGATGATATACTAGTTTACAGGTAATCCTATTCACATAGCAGTTCAATTGTCATTGTGAACTAACAGATGGGAATAAGAGAAAATGATTGTATATTTAAAATTCTCTGATGTAATGCCAGGTATGTTGCAGGCATTAACTGTTTAATGAAGGGAGCTATGGGAAATGCCTTTCATAGCCTGTTTTTCATTTGGTGTCTCCTGTTACTGAGGAATTATAATAAATATTACTAATAATGCATTACCTTCTACGGTGCTACCTATCCAAGCATCTCCAAACACTTCATAGACAGGAATTAAGCTTTACAATCTAACAACCTGTGTGAGGTTGGTGAGTATTATCCCCTTTTTCTAAATGATATATAGAGAGGTGAAGTGGCTTTCCCAAGTTCTCACAGGTCTGTGACAGAGTAAGGAATTACAACCCAGAGCTTCCAACTCCTGGGCATGGCCATGGACCAATTTCATGAGCTTTAGGAGAGTTACTTGCATCAAAATGGCTCCCGAGGTTTAGAAACACTTCAGTTAACTTGTTAATGCAGTGACTTTGAATCACAGGAATGGTGACTTTTTGCATATGTATAACATTGAATTCATCTGTATTTTTAAGCAAAAGATCAGTGAAAAATTATTTACATTTTATGCTAACTAAACGTATTTGATTCATCTAAAAATATAGGGAAAGAGAAAATATTCAGAATACTAATTGTAGGAGCTTGCATTATGTATCTGTATTATATATACTATAAATGTACTCATGAAGATATATATTTCTAATTTTTTGTATCATACACATTATGGCATATGCCCCTAATCAGTTTCCATCATTGCATATTTAATTTATACTACTATTTTGGGGATGCACTGGGCCAAATTCAACAGTGTAAACTGCACATGTAGTTGAAATGGTAATATAGTGTATTTTGCACCGATTTGGCATTTAGAGGCTCAGAAATAGAATCATAGAATCATAGAATATCAGGGTCGGAAGGGACCTCAGGAGGTCATCTAGTCCAACCCCCTGCTCAAAGCAGGACCAATCCCCAATTAAATCATCCCAGCCAGGGCTTTGTCAAGCCTGACCTTAAAAACTTCTAAGGAAGGAGATTCTACCACCTCCCTAGGTAACACATTCCAGTGTTTCAGTGCCAATCTTTAAAAAAGGGAAGAAGGAGGATCCTGGGAACTACAGGCCAGTCAGCCTCACCTCAGTCCCTGGAAAAATCATGGAGCAGGTCCTCAAAGAATCAATCCTGAAGCACCATGTTTAAGATCCACTAGGATTTCACCGTTAAGCCAAGCTGGTCGCCTGCCATATTTACTATTCTTTCGACACATCGGGATGGTTTGTCCCTGTAACCTCAACAGGGATTCCTTGAAATACAGCCAGCTCTCCTGGACTCCTTTCCCCTTCATGTTAGTCCCCCAGGGGATCCTACCCATCCGTTCCCTGAGGGAGTCGAAGTCTGCTTTCCTGAGTCCAGGGTCTGTATCCTGCTGCTTACCTTTCTTCCCTGTGTCAGGATCCTGAACTCAACCAACTCATGGTCACTGCCTCCCAGATTCCCATCCACTTTTGCTTCCCCTACTAATTCTTCCCGGTTTGTGAGCAGCAGATTAAGAAAAGCTCCCCTCCTAGTTGGCTCCTCTAGCACTTGCACCAGGAAATTGTCCCCTAAGCTTTCCAAAAACTTCCTGGATTGTCTATGCACCACTGTATTGCTCTCCCAGCAGATATCAGGAAAATTAAAAAGAAAAGGAGTACTTGTGGCACCTTAGAGACTAACCAATTTATTTGAGCATGAGCTTTCACTTCACATCGGATGAAGTGAGCTGTAGCTCACAAAAGCTCATGCTCAAATAAATTGATTAGTCTCTAAGGTGCCACAAGTACTCCTTTTCTTTTTGCGAATACAGACTAACATGGCTGTTACTCTGAAACAGGAAAATTAAAGTCACCCATGAGAACCAGGGCGTGCGATCTAGTAGCTTCTGCGAGCTGCTGGAAGAAAGCCTCATCCACCTCATCCCCCTGGTCCGGTGGTCTATAGCAGACTCCCACCACTACATCACTCTTGTTGCTCACACTTCTAAACTTAATCCAGAGACACTCAGCTTTTTCTGCAGTTTCGTACCGGAGCTCTGAGCAGTCATACTGCTCCCTTACATACAGTGCTACTCCCCTACCTTTTCTGCCCTGCCTGTCCTTCCTGAACAGTTTATAACCATCCATGACAGTACTCCAGTCATGTGAGTTATCCCACCAAGTCTCTGTTATTCCAATCACGTCATAATTCCTTGACATCACCAGGACCTCCAGTTCTCCCTGCTTGTTTCCAAGGCTTTGTGCATTCGTATATAAGCACTTGAGATAACCCGGGGGGGGGGGGGGGGGGGGAGCATTTGTAAAACTTGCTTGGCTTAACTATTTGACCTCCATAGATTTTGATGGGCATCATGCAGATTGTGTGTGTTACTGCTCCCATTTCCAGTATGTGGTCTGTCATTTTGTTTATAGTCCTTGCAAATAAACTGGGAAGATTATAGTTGAATCAGGAACTAGCAATTGAGTATATCAATCAGTATTCCATACTGTAGGTTCCAGAAGGATGACAACATTTCTAAAAATAATGGTCCTGATTCTCCTCTCTCACCAGTTTTCCCATATTATAATGCCTTTGATTTCAATTGAGTTATTCCCAGTTTATAACAGTGTAAGTGAGAAGAAAATCAGGTCCAGTAGATTTAAAAATAGACTGGATAATGCTACAGAAAATATATTACAGGCAACAGAGCTACACTGAAAAGGGTATGGGATAGGTGCTGCAATGGGACTTTCTGTATCTCTAATTTCTGCTATTCTAACATAGGCCCATCAGAAACCTAATGTTTGTTTTTCTTTTAAATATAAATAACTATTTTTACAAGTCCTTGAGGTAAGGTTTACAGGTGGAATTTTAGGACTTGCACTCCTAAATCACCTAGATCTTTTAAAGATCTCAGTCTAAGACGCTTATCTTCATGAAACATTTTCTAGCCCTGTGAAGACAATAAACATTCTGCTGTTGTCATGTCCTGATGTACAATGCAAATGTTTTTCTGCATCATTTGTCATGGCTCATAGGTAGAAAGGTGTAAACTCAAGCTAAGGTTCAATATTATTAATGGCTTTACTCAGCTCTGAGTAGATCATCCAGAGAGGAATGTTGCTGAAAACATTTCCTCAAATGTCTAGTTCTTGCAGGGACCACAGCATGCGAATATCTGTCAGCTTGTATTGCTTATTTATTCTCTTTGTGCCTCGATGAAAACCTACCGCTGAGTTCTAGGAAAATCCAGTTTTTGAAAAATGGAGAGCAGTGTACTCCATGCCGAGAAGTTTTAGTGCTTCGTTTCATGAGAAAAATAGTGGCATGAAATATGAACCCCAAACCATGAAGTAAATTACAGATAATCAGAGTAAAAACTATTAGAAGTTGGTTAGCTTCAGTGGGGCACAGGGCAAATTTTGGCCTAAAGTTCATTAAAAAAGTGTGTTACTCTTAGACAAGGGCTGCAGTTAGGAGTTGTTTGGGCGATTATTTGTATCATACATTATAATGATTAGGGAAAGACCTGTAAGAACTGACAGAGTGCAGATTAGCACTGCCACTGGATAGGCCTAAATCCCCGGTAAATAAGTATCTTTCCTTCACACTTCTACTTTATGGTTAGTGCTAATTTTAGTAAGGGGTAAAAGTATATCTGCTGCTGACTAGCTAACATCAGCTCTTGAATCTGTGAAACACTGAACACTGTGAGCTGAATTCTTTGCAAAAAGTTCCCTTTGGGATACAAAAGCCATTTTACACCCTTCTTCATCTCCTGGAATAATGGCAAGTTAGATATTATAACATATTCCAAAACAATGGGGACAATTTTAAATTATGCCTATTGAACTTTCTAAATCTTTATAAATTTACAAATGACTCATACAATCTCTTTAATAAGACAATCTGAAAACAGCTAAATCAATTGGTGCTACTAGATGGCCGTGTTCCTAGACAACAATTCTTTGGAAGAAAGTTTTTAAAAACGTCTTCGCACATTCCTTTCACATTTCAGAACCCAGATCTCTGTAAATTGAGAGGCTCAGTTTGGCAACAAAGCTATAATAGAAATTATGTTTCAAATCACAGAGCAATACTAAAATATAATAATCTGTAGTATAATAGGCTTCTTAAAGATTGAAGTTCAGCTCCCACAGCGAGTAACCAGCAAATATAGATTCTTAACAGAAGTGTTCTACTGAATTGACAAGGACTAGTAATTGTGCTTTAATTTGGTATGTGTGGTTATCTGAGAAATTGTTACATTGTTTGTGCTATGTCATAAATGTTTAGTTGCATGGATTAGTGGGTAGTGCAGAATAACGAGAACTAGCAATCTGCAAATACCATGCTAATCCTGTGTGTTCGTCGGCCAGTCACTTAACCACGGGCATGATCCCAATCTGTGAAATAGAGATAATGCTACCGGTGTGTTTCACAGGAGGATGATGAGGATAAATTAGTGATTGTGTGAAGATTTAGAGACCTATATAGTTGTATATTCAGAGAGTGACAGTGGTTGGACCTTGTTGTAGAAATCTTACAAAAGCAAAAGGCTTCCTTCAGCCTAGGGGAAGTTATGGAAACCAGGCCCATTGTTGAGAACTCTGTATAATCAGCTTCTGCCAGACAGTTCTTGAACCACCATAAGCAACTACATGATGTATCAAACGTGTTTCTACTTTGTGAAGGTGAGCAAGGTCTAATAGCCAGCATATGCCTAGACCATGTGAATGGCAGTTACTATGGTAATTTCATTTTATACTGAATCATTTAAATAAGTCTTTCCCCTTCTCAGTCTGTTTCCTCCAACCTACTCTTTCACCTCCTTTATGTACCTCTCACTCTTCCTTCTTCTTCTTCCTTTTGGTCTTTGTAGATACGTGTTGACAGTTGTAAATACATTAATTCGCATCCACAATATGAATGCAAGA